ACGATGTTAAACTGTTCTCATTCCACTGTCCATGTCTAGGGATATCTCGTCTTGTTCTTAGTTTTAGTACTGCCCAATTATTCCTTGCCCCGTCTCCAGTGAATCCAAGTACATACTGCCCGACCAAGGGATTGAACTCACAATCACTATGTCTCCAAATACATAAACCAACTCTTTTAATCCACCAGGCCATTGTCTGGTATTTAATTAATTTTGATGCGGTGAACTTGGAGCCTTAAACCTAGACTACCTGATGATTAAAGTTGCAATACTGCTACTGCCTGTCATCTTTTAACTGCTGCTGCTGCTGATATATATCTACTATTGCAACCCGCCCCATATATATTCTAGCGCCTGCTCATCTCTTTCTTAGGCTCCAACTTTCTGATACAACCGCTTTAGTTTCCTTTCTTTCAACATACGGTCAGTTTTAGACATACTGGAGTGACAGGGTGTAATCGATTTCTATTTTTTCCTCAGACTTCAGTAGTGTGCAGTAATATGAATCTATTTTAGGGGTGTATGATGAAATCTGTTTGGCCTTGAAAAATATTGTGTCATTCATGATTGCATCAGATTTTTATCACGCACAGACACTATTGTCTCGATTGTCGATTAGTTGTCCTACGTTTATTGTCTACGATAAGCGTTATTCCAAGGTAGCGTACGAAAATTATAGCGCTTCACGAACTCACTGGCAAGCCTTACCAGTGAGGAAATCAAGGTACTACTTGCCTGGAAATTCTCCTGATTTAAATCCAATGTGGTCGATCTGCAAGACTACGAATGGACATACGAAGTACTAACAGGTGCACTGGATCATGTTTCATTAGAAAAATACGAAAAAAGTAAATAATAACGGAATTATTCGTTTTCTTTCAATTTGCTTATCAACCTTTTGCTGGATATTTAAAGCCAGAAAATTATTCGTTTTGTTTCAATTTGCACAAGGCTGTAATAAATATTCAAAAGCTTTCGATTCTTGATTTAAAATATTAATTGTTGACAACAAAAATGATAGATATTATTTGCTTCTTTTTCTTGCATTTTTAAATTTAGGCTTTTTGGTGTTAATATGACGTAATATGGAATTGACGTTCTTTTCTGGAAAGAAGGTATTAATATAGATGAGAAATACATTTAAAACACCCTTGATTAGAATATACAATTCAGGTTTGATGTCTTTCTGAGTAAAAGTGCCTAATATTCCTAGATAGAGCGGATGTAAATATGTAAGTGGACACTGAGGTCGAGTGGCGACAGTCTGTTTTATTCTTGAACGCAATCTTCAGGCCATATGTGTTGAGTAGTAGCTCGACTATTTATATACGCTAATGATTGGGGAATTGTAGGTCGCAGTCATTATCATTACGTATAGCGTAGTGTAGTCAGCGTAATCAATGTCTATTCTTATATATATATATATATATATATGTGTGTGTGTGTGTGTGTGTGTGTGTGTGTGTGTGTGTGTTCATTCATCAATAGTATATGTTTTTCCTGCGGCTGACTGCGAATAAACAAGACTTATTCCCCGCAGTTGATTGCGATCCTCAGCAAGCTTATTTAGTGCCAGTCACTGATTGTTTGGTGACCAAAGAATTATGTTATCACTCTAAATAAGAAATAGTTAATAAGAATTTCTTTAATAAGACTTTCGATTTCCCAAGCCGGTAGGTGTCGATTCCAGTGTTTAAAAAATAGACATGTTTAATCAAAAGCATGTTCAATATTTATAAAAAGTAATAAATGTATATATATATATATATATATGTGTGTGTGTGTGTGTGTGTGTGTGTGTGTGTGTGTGTGTGTGTGCGTGTGTGTGTGTGTGTGTGTGTGCCCTTTTATGTCTATTTTATATTTTATAAAACTTCTTTAAAGTCTTTATTGTACATCGTTGAATCTGGTCTGCATTGCAAACATCCAATTATTAAAAAAATATCAAGGAAAATTTGAAGGACATTTTATTATTCATATATGTTTAAATTTTATTTATTATTTTCATTAGCAATGTCACTTCAATAAACAAATAAATCTTTGTCTTAATTGTATATTTTACCTTTAAGGAAAATAGCACCTTTAAGCGTGTACTTATTGTCACATCATTCTGCAATATTACCATTCTTTGTCTTTAATTCTTCAGAACCCAACGCTACATCATAGACTCGTTCAACGACGGGCAATGTTCTTTTTTAGTCGCTTTATTTCAGGAGTGACAGTAGTTTGTAGCATCGTTTCTAAGAGGAAGCCAGAGATAGGAGATGATCGGGTGACGACACATGTCAACCGGTTGGCCTAAACGTCTTCGACACGCGCTGGCCTATCTCACTAAAGTATATTGGGGGAGGGAGAGTCATCTTGACTCTTCTAATTCTTGTAGCCGTCTTAGTGTTTTTGTACCTTGTGGGTCTTATATCAAAACTTAAACAAACCTATTCATCACTGTCAGAATTCCATTCCTACGAGAGTTCAAACCAACCCCACTCAGTTCAGAGTTCTGACCAATAGTTTGCCATTATGGGCCAGCATACATGTTCTGTAAAATTACACTTACAGCAGTTTTCCTTGGTAGAAAACTACTGCAGTTATTTTCATGTTGTCTATAAGAGTCTTCATGGTTATTTCCTAATTGAACTATTGTAACTATTTTCTCTACCGTTAATTGTAATTAGTTCGAATGTAATTGCTTATTAAAGTCGGATCAAGCACAATAAAAAGTGAGTTTATCTTATTTAAATTATTGATTGTTATTCTGAGGTTTTTTTCTTTGAATTTATTCTTCGTCATCATAATTATCAGCACTTGTTTATCAATTCCATTTCTTTCCTTTTTATGTGTCATGTCCTTTCAGGACGTAGGCGATCATGGCTCTCCACTTCTCTCTATCCCTTACAGATCTCAGTAAGTTTTGTCCCTCTGTTTCCTTCCACAGATCACGTTCTGTCATCCAATGGATTAATACATCTACGGATCTCAGTGTCGCACTTACCGTCCTCTGTCAAAACGTTTCCCAGATATTTAAACTTCCGCGTCTGCTTTATTCTAGTGTCTCCGACCTGCAAATCATATTTCGGGTTCATCCTTTTCTTGATGACCATGCATTCTGTCTTCTTGTAGTTTATGCTTAGTCCCTTCTTCTCACTCTCCATCGCTACCTTCTGTAGGCGATTTTGTAATTTCTTTTCTGTGTCTGCTATCAGTACTGTGTCATCTGCGTATATTAAAGCATTTTCTTACGCCAAGAAACAGTACTGAAACGTGATTTTCTTTTTTTAAGCACATTATTTATGATTTATGTGCCATGTCCTTTCAGGGCGTAGGCGATCATGGCTCTCCTCCTCCCTCTATCTCTTGCAGCTCTCAATCAGTTCCTTCCCTCTGCCATCTCCCCCAGACCACGTTCTATCATCCACTTGCTTAGGGCCGCTAGATATGTCATGCGTTGTTTTCTCTTGTCTCTCTTTCCCTTTATTCGACTCGTGAGTATCAGATTCTCCAAGCCCTCCTTCCTCATTATGTGTCCCAGAAACTTCAGCTGTCACTTCCTGATGTTAAATATAAGCCTCCTCCTTGTTTGCATCCTCTCTAATACCTCATCGTTGCTCACACGCTCGGTCCATGATATCCTTAGCATCCTTCTGTAGAACCACATCTCTGTCGCCTCGAGTCTCTTCATCCTTGAGGAGACCGTCCAACATTCGCTGCCGTTAAGAAGGACAGATGTTAGGTAACAACTCAGTATTCTTTTCTTTGTTACCAAAGAAATCCTCCTGCCTCGCAATACTCTGCCCAGCTTTTGGAATGCGTCCTTGGCCATCCCAATACGTCTACGGATCTCAGGGCCACACTTACCGTCCTCTGTCAAAATGCTGCCCAGATATTTAAACTTCAGCACCTGCTTTATTCAAAGTGTCCCCGACCTGCAAATCGTATTTCGGGTTCATCCTTTTCTTAATGACCATGCACTCTGTCTTCTTGCAATTTATGCTCAGTCCCTTCTTCTCACTCTCCGTCGCTACCTTCTGTAGGAGATTTTGTAATTTATTTTCCGTGTCTGCTACCAGTACTGTGTCATCTGCGTATATTAAAGCATTTTCTTGCGCCAAGAAACAATATTGAAACGTGATTTTCTTTACACTATTTACATTATTCGGACTATTGTTCTCATCTTTGTCGCCATATTTATTGGAAAATTCGTAAACTTAAGGAATCAGCACATATGCTAGGGCACAACAATCTCCTGAGCCGACCAAGCATAGAAATGAATACAATATGGGAACCAGTAATAAGGAGTGCCAGAGAAAAGCGATAATAACAACAAAAATTTCAATATGAGAACTGGTAAAAAGTGTTTGCTGAAGATATTAGGTATATAATAACCAGTAATTAATACACAGCTGTCCCGAAGGATACATGGCACAGTGTATAAAGGATTTAGTTTGATCCAGTGACAGGACCCAAAGAGTGTAAGTTCAATACCTGGTTAAGGCGGTGGAGAACTTGGTGAGGGGAATTAACCAGAGATAACTGATAAGTGACGTCCATTAGACATGGCACGTGGAACTAGAACAGTCTACACCAGTGAGCGAAATAAAGGGTTCAGTTCGACATTCCAACCACCTGAAGAAGGCTGAAGCGTACAACGTCCAGAACGTTGTGATAAATATGGCGAAAACGATGAGGACAGTAGTCCGAATAATGTAAATAGTGTACATATTACCTCATCTCAGAAATATAGACAGATAGTGATTTTCTTTATTTAAGCAAATTAGGATTTAGACCAATAATCGGCTTGATTACATTTTGCCTTCGGATTTCGATCCAAGTTTCTTAAGGTGTTAGGCTTGGGATTAATAAGTAAAAAAGAAAAGCATTAGAACATAACTAAATAAGTAAAGTTGCTAGAATTTGTAGAATACATTAGAAAAACCTACTTTTAAAAAACTGCCTTTGTTTACGTTTACGTTTTTGAGCCATTATACATTGCAACATGCAAGCTTACAGCATCTGATATTCCCAAGCGGTTACCCATCTAGGTAGTGACCAGACTCGGTGTTGCTTAACTTTTGTGGTTGTACGGAAACCGGTGTTTCAACGTGATATGGCCGTAAGAAGACGTGCAAGATGAACAAGGAAAAGAAAATAACACCATCCCTTTTGCGATTAGTATTCAAAGATAATGAAGCAAATCTTGTCTCTTTCGCCGAATTGGGACACAGTTCTCATTTATGTTATCCAGTGTTTTTGTACCAAAGGAAGAAAGAAAAAAGAAATCTCCAAATTTAGTTTTCACTGTTTTGAAGCAATTTAATGCAACAATATTATTTGACAAATAAAACTGAATAATTCAAATATTTACAATCTCAAAAATAAACAAAACCATAAAGGAATCGTTTCAAAATAGTTTCCTTCCAAATTCAAAGATCAAAAGAGCAGTTTTTCACATTAATCTCAAGGTTTCAATGAATTGGCATTATCAGTTTCAGCTGATAATTTCAATACATTCGAACTCCCAACATATTAATGATTGCTTATCTAAAAAGCTATTATTTCTCTTTTAATGAATGAGGCTGGATCGGAATAAAATGTTCATTTTAGAAAAATGTTTTGTTCATTTATTGCTCTTATCTCCATTGAGGAAATCTGCAAATTTCATTGGGAAAACGGAGAATTCTATTTTGCTGAAACAATTGCTACTATTTAATCTTTCGAAGTGGTGTTGATCAAGAAACCGTTTTTGTTGTTTCGTGTTGAATGTGATTTTTGGGGGTCTCTAAAAAATAAAATGTGTTGAGAGGTCAGCTTCGTTTTCAGTTGCTTCTCCTGTTATTTAGAGATAATAAGTAAAGATAGGCGTTGTTATGGTGCCACATCGACCTTTGTTATTATCTACAGATTAATAAACAAAGAAAAGTGTTCTTAGGGTATCACGCCGACCTTTACTGTTATTTAGAGATAATAAGCAATGATTAGAGATGGTGCCACGACGATATATTCTTTCATTTCGAAATAATAAGCCAAGATAAGACTTTGTATGTGCCAAGGCCTACCATTGCTGATTTTAGAGATAATATGCAAATACAGAAGTTCTTACGGTGCCAGGCCGAACTGTCATTTTGAGATAATAATCAAAGCTAGGGTTTGTTTCAATACCAGGCCAACCTTTACTCTCATACAGAGTTAATAAATAAAGTCAGTTGTTACTATTTAGATGTAATAAATAAAGCTATTTTAACGATTTAACGCCGACCTTTACGAATAATAAGCAAAATTAGGAGTTCTTATGTCGCGAGACCCAATTATTATCTGTAAATAACAGTAAAGACCAGCGTGTCACCTGTTATTTAGAGGGTAATAAGCACATACGTTAGTTGTTACGGTGCCAGGCCAACCCTTACTGATATTTAGAGATAATAAGCAAAATTTTTTTACGATGCAATGCAGACCTTTACAGTTATTTAGAGATAATAGCAAAGAGAGAATGTTTTATCGTGTTTGTTATGAATTTGTTTCGGTGCCAGACCGACCTTTACTGTTATTTAGAGATAATAAACAAAGACGGGTGAGTTTAACATATCACACCAACCTGGACTGCTATTTCGACGTAATAAGTAAAGACAGGTGTGATTACCATATCAGACCGACATTTGCTGTTATTTAGAGATAGTAGACAAAGACAGGTGTTTTTACCGCATCAGACCGAGCTGGACTGTTATTTAGAGAAATTAGGCAAAAACAGATGTGTTTATCGTATCAGACCGACGTGGACTATTATTTAAGGGATAATAAGCACAGACAGGTGAGTTTAACATATCACACAGACCTGGACTATTATTTAGAGATAGGAGAATAGGACAGATGTTCACCGTATCAGACCTACCTTTACTGTTATTTAGAAATAATAAGTAAAGACAGGTGTGTTTAACGTATCCGGCCGACCTAAACTGTTATTTAGAGATAATAGGCAAAGTCAGTTGTGTGTATCGTATCAGAACGAGCTTTACTTTTATTTGGCGATAGTAAGCAAAGACAGGTGAACTTTACATATCGGACCGACCTTTACTCTTATGTGGAGATAATAAGCAAAAGCAGGTGAGTTTGCTGTATCAGACCGACTTAATTGGATATCATAGGCTAAGACAGGTGTGTTTACCACGTCAGACCGACCTCGACTGTTACTTAGAGGTAATAAGCAAAAACAGCAGAGTTTACCGTATCAGAACAACTTTTACTCTTATTTCGAGATAACAGGAAAAGACAGATGTGTTTACCATATCAGAACGACCTGGACTGTTATTTAGAAATAAACAAAGACAGAAGTTCTTACGATGCCAGGCCGACCTGGACTGCTATTTACAACTAATAAGCAAAGACACGAGTTCTTACAGCACCAGGCTGGCCATGACTGTTATTTAGTGTTAATAAGTAAAAACTTTTGTACCAATCTCAACCTTCATCCATTTTTATCAACTGTATTCGTTTATTACGACTCTGGCAAATTAAAGTTTTCTGTACTTCATACAGAAGGTTATCCTGGTAAGGCAAAGACTGAAGAAAATTAATAAATGTTTTTTATGTAAAAATAGCAAATAATAAGTTTTATTTCTATACTGCATGTCATTTTATTTACATTATTCGGACTATTGTCCCCATTTTTGTCGCCATATTTATTACAACGTTTCGGCCTTTCAGTATCTGTCTATATTTCTGAGATGAGGTATTATGAACATTATTTACATTATTCAGACTATTGTCCTCATTTTTGTCGCCATATTTATTACAACGTTTCTGCCTTTCAGTATCTGTCTATATTTCTGAGATGAGGTATTATGAACATTATTTACATTATTCAGACTATTGTCCTCATTTTTGTCGCCATATTTATTACAACGTTTCGGCCTTTCAGTGCCTGTCTATATTTCTGAGATGAGGTATTATGTACATTATTTACATTATTCGGGCTATTGTCCTCATCTTTGTCCATCTGGGCCAGTGGAAAAAAAGCATTGGTTGATTAATCCAAAAAGTGACTTGACCCAAAGAGTTGGGAGTTCAAAACCTTGGAGAGTTGAGTTACTAAATAGAATTAACTGAGATTGATATGTCTAAAAAAAAGGCATGGCACGTGGAATTAGAACAATCTACACCCGTGGACTAAATAAAGGGTTCAGTTCAAAATTCCAACGTATATCATCTGAAGAAGGTCGGAGCGTACAACGGCCGAAACGTTGAAGATGGGGACAACAGTCCGAACGATTTAAGTAGCGTAAATAGTTACAATACCTCATCTCAGAAATATAGACAGATGTCCCCATCTTTATTGTCATCCGGAAATTTTAACCGTTCTGCTCTCCGGCCTTCTTCCGTCGATCCAAATGTAAATAATAACAACTGCTCAATCCAGAAATTCTGACAGAAAGTAATATCAGGTCAAAATTAATGATGACGCACAATTCCTCTTTGATGAAATTTGTTTTCAGATCCCTGTTTTAATGTCCGCCTTGATCTGTCCGAGGTCCGATCTATTCGCTCATTTTTTTTTTTTTTTATTTCGTTTTGTTTCTTTAAATCAGTTTCTTACAAACCGACATTTTTATAACTACAAAAGGCAAATCCCTAGAGAAGGCTACATCGGGGACATTTGCCCTTAAAACAACAAAGATCTGGATGGTATTTTCAAAAAGGAAATAAATATAGAATCTTTTACAGTTATGTAATCCAATATAATCCACTCTAATCCGTCATACTGTAACTAAAACATCTTTTTCTCAATTAAATCAATTGAGCAAACGTAACGTTTTCTTTTCTCGAACGGAATACTTTTCAATCAAATTTTACGCCATATAAACTACAGTAGAATCCCTGACAACCGGACTAGGAAGGCTTTCCGGATATTTCCGGATATTGGTTACAAAGTCCGGATATGAGGGGTTATATTTAGATTAAAATGAAAGAACTGAAATCAGGTTTAGCATTTGTTTTCAGTGTTTTATAGTAAACAAAATAAGCTAATGGTGAATGAAATATAACGGAATTGATTTTAATGAAAAAGAAATAAATTATGTAATGTTAATGAAAATTCATTAAATTAAGTATGCCATGTATGCAAAACAAATAATGTAATTTAATCGCATGATGATTCTTTCTCGTCTAATATCATTCTCAACTTTTTCGGTATTTCGTTTTGCATTTGTTCTTAAAAAATTTTAAACGTCATAGGTGAATGCTGGCTTTCCTGAAAAACAGAAATTTCAAATCAGTTATAGATCACCCAAATAATTCAAATACACATATCAAAATCATGTCCGGATATGCGGGGTTCCGGATATGAAGCACTCCGGATATGAGGGATTCCGGATATGAAGGATTCTAATGTAATTGATTCTAGCGCAAGAATACAACGACGACTGCGAAGGTAGAATACTTATATGATTGCCTATTAGAACAGATTATCGACAATTGCTTGAACAAGACGAGATCAAACGATATATATTTCTCAGTTCAGATAAATTGTACGAATGAAACGTTGTTCATAGATTTAAAAAAAAAACACGGAATGTTTGCTTTAATAAGATAAAAAAGAAATTGCTTTTGTAATGTTAGGGTTTGTTGTTTTTTATTTTGTTTTTGCTTTTTGTTTGGTTTGTTTTTTTTTGTTTTTTTTTTTCAGTTTTGCAAGATCCAAGCATCCATTAAATTTAATGTATATTTTAAAAGAAATGTACATCTAGTTTTTCGTTAATGGTTTTCTATTTGAGTAAATGCCTGTAGAGCAAATTGCATTTATTAATTGCGAAAGAAAAATGATTAATTATTTATTTGTAAGAAAGAAAAAAGAGAGAAAGAAATGGCAATAGAGTATTAGTTAAATCAACAAATGAAGAAGAAGAAGAAGAAGAAAAGCAATAAAAAATGATAATAAGGAGAAAGAAGAAAGAAGAAAATTGAAAAGAAAAAATCGAATGAGAAGTAGAGCAATGATAATGAAAATGGCGGAAAGGGAAGACATATTATGAAAAAGTGTAAAATTAAAAGAAAGATGAGAACACACTGAGATATTTTGAAGAGACACGTTTGAGATATAACGTGAACGAATTTTTAAGTCTTCTATGTTTTTATTAACAAATGTTTTCCAATTTGACTCGAGGATGGATTATTATCAAACGAACGAAAAAAACGCTATCTAGACAAAATGGTTATGTCTAAAAAAGATAATGACTAATTGGATTTTTTTTTCTTTGCACCTTTTAATTTTTCGAAGTTTTTGTAAAGGCACTCAAGGCATTTCCACAAATTTATGTTTGGAAATCTGTCTAGGAACTTTTGTAAATTTAATTATATATCAAAAGCGAAGAATACAAAACAAGTCAATATATTTGTGCCTGAACGTTGTTATTATTGTTGTTTTCTATGTGTGGGTTTGGGTATGTGTATATGTGTGTGTGCGTGTTTGCGCGGGCGCCCGTCTGTGTATGTGCGTGTGTGTGTATGTGGCTTTCGTTTGAAAACACCTCATTTTTTTTCAATACGGCTATTTTAGAAATTTTGGCAGGCGACACCAAAGACAATTCTGAATAAAACTGTCTCCATCTTTTTTATTCTTTTGGATTTCTGGTTTCTTTTTTTTCAAGAGAATTGAAAACTTTCTGAAATCTAAGAATGTTTAAAGCGAAAATGCCTCAATATATATTGAGAGATTTATCCAAGAAAAGGCTGAAATAATGTCAGCCTGGCCATCTTCCCTGAAACAATATAATTTATATTTGCTGATTAAAATGCTGATTTAAATGAATTGAGTCATATCGAAACCCTTAAACCACCCACCGTACATTTGGTCCAAATATGCATACGAATGTTTATGTGAGTATAAAAATGCTTAATTGTCAATCTTAGAATTTATATCAGCACTTCTACAAGACAAAGGTCTGCGAATATATATATATATATATATATATATATATATATATATATATATATACACACACACACGCACACACACACACACACACACACACACACATATATATATATATATATATATATATATATATATATATATATATATATACAGGTGTAACAGCAAAAATTGTCCAATTGTTAGATTAAGCTCTGAACCGTTGTATCTTAGAAATGATTAAATATATCTTACTGGAATAAGAATGTATAATTACCCTCCAAGCTTAACTGAAGAATCGTGATGAAATCGATCATAAACGAAAATGAAATGTTCATCATTAACTAATCATAGCTAAGGATCGGAAGTCCATGAAGCATTGCAATAAATTTCATATATATATATATATATATATATATATATATATATATATATATATATATATATATATGAAGAAATATAGTTTTAAGGTGTGCTATATTTATGGGAGAAAGTGCTCAATTTCAGAGATAGAGGCGTATGTAAATATAAATATAAAATTGAACATTGAAGTTAACACTCAAAGGAGACAGACTGTTTCATGCTAGACACAATCGTCAGGCCGAAAATTGCGTCTAGCATGAAAACAGCCTGTCACCTCTGAGCGTTGGCTTCAGTTTTCACTTTTATATATATATATATATATATATATATATATTATTCCGGGATCATTTTCTAACTTATTCAAGATGATCTCCGCCCTCTCTAACCTTCTAACTTTCTGCCCTGGCGTAACAATGTGCGTCACACGTTCCATGTACGATTTCATTTTCAAGTCTTTTTTTTCAGTGCTCTTTCGACCTGAAACCCCTCTCTTACGTACCAAACGTCTTATGAATTGAGTTGGATCTTTTCTAATTGATATCTTTAGCTCTAAGCTAAAATGATGATCCTGCTTGTGAGCGCGTGTTCACCTGTGTGTTTATGTGTGTGTGTGTGTGTGTGTGTGTGTGTACGTGTTCGATTGTGTGTATGTGTGCGCGCGTGTTTATATTTGTGCGTGCGTGTATACCTGTATGTGTATATACAAGCTTCAAGGTACAAGCTTCAATTGCTCTTTTTCCCAGCCAACATATAAATAACTGCTTTGGATTTTGCTTTGACAAATTAGAAATGTCTTTCACACTCGACAAATGGCATCCAGTTTAATGAGCCAAGAAAGAACACAGTTTATGCAACGAACCTTTCATCCTATCGACACGAAAAGGAGGAAACAGCATTCTCTGTTTTTAATTAAATCAACAAAAACAAGCAAAATATTCTATACCCCATAAATCTACAGTACATGCCCCTTGCAACCTTTCAAATGAAATCATCATTTAAGCATAGAGCATGATACTTTCAGATCTGTTGTTTTTTTTTTTCTCTTTGATGTCTTTTATAATCTTTTCGTTTTTGTAAGCTTCGACTTTCTTTCAATCTGAATTCCATAAGCAAAGAACGATTGTTATTATTATAAATTCATTCATTCGGAACAATTTCTTCCTCTTTGTTGACTTTATAAGATCTTTGTCTTTGTAACCCTTTTGCAATGGGTCGACTACCGGAAATGTCAAACAGAACCTTTCATTTAAACTACAAGTATATGACGTTCTTATTGAGTTTGCCTAGGACGCAATTTATTTGGCATCATTGCCGAGTATTGCAAATACGATCTTATTCATTCTCTGAACAAAAGTTACCATCATATTTGGCTTTGCTGAATCATCTCAATCCATTTAATATCAAATCGAAACATTAAAGTTATCTTCACTTTCTTCGGTCACTACAAATTATTGGTATTTCACTAAAATACATTTCAACGAACAAAACAATAATCTTTTCATAGTAAGAAACTCCAATGAACGAAAATTCAAAATGAAAAAGTAGTAAGCCGTAAATATCAGCTCAGATGTTTAAATTACAATGTATTTGTTGATTGTAAAAAAAAAATCCGTCCTAAACTCACGATGGGGATGAAATGAGCAGTTACAAAGTAAACTCCTCTTCACGCCTAGACAGCATTAAATTTAACCCCCTTATGCAACGAAAATAACAGAAACAATGAACAGATAAATTTCTTTTGAACTTTGAGTTTTTATAAGCCGTAAAAAACAGATCAATCAATCAAAAATCTTCAGGACAAAAGCGATCAAGGCTCTCCACAGATTCATTGTCTTTATTAGTTGTGAATTATAAGGACTACTTTACAGTTTTGAGTTCAGAGTTATCTTTCATCCAGATTAGTTATCCTGGGTATGACGATAAACTGCATCCGGCAGCAAGGCCTCTGATCAGAAGATTAGAGATTTTGAGAAGCAGTGAACCATCATTTAATTGCTGTTGTTCCCAAATTCACCCTGACCAGGGGTGGTATCTCCTGTTAAGGCCCCAGCTATGAGTAAAAACCCCAAAGAAAAGCAAAATACTATGAAAATATAAAAATACGTTTTTATAGTAAAAATACCAGCAATACATTTTTTTATATAAAAAAATTATCAACAATAATAAAATGACCAACAATTCATTTTATCTGTAGTTGAAGGCATACAGTTGCATTCAAAATATATTTAATTGAAACCATAAAATTGTGTTTATAATATTTAGATTTCGGCATTAAATAAACCATAGAGGTGTTGATATGCCGCTAAACAAAACCAACCAGGAACCATCCAAGGGCCGTGAATAGTCAAGTCTACCCTGCTGTCTTCAAAGACGAAATGTATATTTATTTCAGTCTCCAATATGCCAAACAGTTTTTACTATTTTCCTAAAAATGTAGCTAATATTATTTAAACGAAATTAATATTTTTACACAATAATGAAGAAAACATATTATTTAAAAATAACATAAATTAATTGTTTCAAAAAATAAATAAAAATATCAAAATTAGAATATAATCCATCATTTTATTTTAAACTAAAATTAATATTTTAGAAATATATTTTTAAAATAGCCTTTTATGTGTCTCTGTGTGATCAGGTCACATTATGTCATTGTGGCATAATGAAAACTTTCGGGATCAAGTGCCACTCATCCAAAAGGTAGACAATTCCGATCATTGGCCTATATAGTCATGGCGCATTCTAGAATAGTCGTGATGGAGAGATTAGTGGTAGGAGAAAGTCGGCAGTTAGAGTGACGGAGGAGAGACGGTTAGAACAAAGTTAGTGGCAAACAAAATTCTCATTAGCTGAAGGGAAGCTCTAGTCTGTCAGGAGGAAAGACAAAAAGAGAAGCGAAGTTGTCCCAAGTGTCATTTACCTACTCTCACAGAGTACCGTTACGAGTCCATGAATATACTGGAATGAGGATTCATGTTTTTTTTTTGGGGGGGGGAGTTCTTTTTTTTTTTCTCCAGCCGTGTCGTTATTTCATCTTCCGTTCTCTTGTGAACGTATACCTGGCCTTGTAGGGTAAAGCTGTCTAGTTGGTTAAAGAGAGCGCGGGGAATTTGAGTGCATGTTTACAGGATAACATCGACAGATGTGCTTACGTTTTTGCTTTCCTTAGTCTATAAACTCAAATAGATTCTTAGAAAACGCTAACTGAATAACTAAATGAGATCAAACAAGATTGAGCTATACACAATGATGAGATTATAACAGTGGACTGGGCGCCATGATTGAACATTACTTTCTGGCGGCAATACTTTTAACGCCCAGATGGCATCTCTCGATTATACCGTTGCCTTCAGGGACGAATGCACGTCAGAAGCGAATTTGGACACCCCACTTGACTAAAAAACTCTTTGACTAACTGGCTACGAAACACAGTATCCACGAGAAGTTCTACTGGTGGGCGTTGGTCGTAAAAGACTGCCTCTAAATGATGAATGACACTTGTTGAATTCTGTTGACGCAGGGGTCGCCAAATTGACCAAAGCCGATCAGCTTTAGGAAGTGCATTCCATTAGAGTGGGTAATGTCGAATCCAAATCGATTCCACGCACCAGTTACATTAAGCTTGCCATGTAGCAACGTATTGGGTCTGGATCGATTAAATGGTATTCCCTGACTACCACCTTCGAAAACATGGGAGGCAATCACTTGACGATATATAATATCCGCTTGATGCAGTGTACAGTCCTCAGGGCGCCAGACCGGATGCATCTACTGATGTTGCGCAAGTAGTCTCGACTTTTTTTTTTCTTACCACATCTATAGCCTTTGTTATAGGACTCACCTTAGTCCAAAGGTTCTGGTCTGATCTGACCAACATCACGTCCCCGGACAATACACATTCATGCACTAATTTCTTTAAGCTAACCTCACATAGGTTTACTACCGTAGTGATTTTGACCTAAACTGAATGCTTTGTACCAGATAAAACTAAGGTTCCTGACAGTAGAACACTGGTAGGGTTTGTGTACTATAACTAGAGAAGAAAGTTTGTTCTTTACTGAATGACCAACTAGTGTCTTTTTACAGTACTAATTTCAGCTTAATATACAGACAACAACGTTAGTCTGGTGTATTTGTCCAAACTGAGTTCTAATTACAGCTGAATTCGTTAAATTAATTTTCACACAAATACCCTAAGAAAAAACATCAAAGTTAAATACAACGGTTAAACTGGCTCTCTAGCGATGTTTGGCAACCAGTCTAGTAGACGGATAGCTCAAAAAGCAAGCAACTGAAGGTGTTTGATTTGTTTTACTCTTCCTCAAAGAATGTATTGCTGGCAATACTCTTCTTCAAAAATTGTATAGCTGGTAATAGTTTTTCTTAAAAAATTCATTGCTGCTAATAATTTTTTTTCTAAAATGTATTGCTGATATTAAAACCTATTTTTATACTTTCATCGTGTTTTGACCCCTTTAGGGGAGTTAACTATATGGCCACAGCTGGGACCCTGACAGATGCTACCACCCCGGGTCAGGACGGACCTGGGAACACCAGCAATTGTTAACTGGTTCCACGTTCCTCAGAACCTCCTGATCAGATGCCTAACTGTTGGATATAGTTTATCGTCTTACCCAGGACGGCCTGAAGTTGTATAGACATGTGGTGCAGTTATTAAGCCAGTAAAACAAAAATATATCTTCTTTTTTTTTTAAATCTCGGAATACTTTCACTAGAAAGCAATTATCCAGAATATTTTTGATACCAACAGAAGGTTTTTTGGGGGTTTTTCTTTATCTTTTTTTTTTTCTTTTTTGTTTTTTGTTTTTTTACATTTATTTTTCAAGAACGTGAATTCTAGTGATTTTTTTTTTATCTTTAGAAATCTTTTTTTTTTTTACATTTGGATTTTCAGCACGAAAGATATAATCGATTTTCCTATAATAAATCATATTTGTTACTGAAGCACAAGTTAAAGGCTGTTCGCCCGTAATGTAATTTCTTTCCTAACTAAATCCAAGTAAACAAAATTAAATTCAAATCGGTTGGAGGGAATTGAGTTTATTTGGCAAAAATCAATACTCGACTACATGACATCATGGTGGTTGGTCATGCGTACGATCTGACAACCTCGAGCAGACATTGTTTAAATATTTTCGCCTAGTTGACGTCACATTATCATACAGCCAAGCGACATGCGTACTAAATGCAGTTATAAGTGTATTCTTCCATTTTCTTGAAGATTTAAGTCTCGAGAAGAAATAGCTATGAAATATGGAAAGAACTTTGAAATGTTTTGAAAACGCTTTTTCTATTTTTTCCTGCCTCAATAGAAGACCTGATGTAGACGTCGTTGTATATAATTTCTTCGCGTGCGGTTACAGGGTTAAGTATCAATTCTTTCCTTTGCATGAGAATTTTTTACCTTTACTAACACAGTTTTTTGTTTTTGCAATGATCTTCACTCTGTACAAGGCTTAAGGGCCACTCGAGGTAGAGGGCTACAGAGTAAGAGGCATAATTTATGCGGATATGTGTGGAAGATAACGGTTAACCCTAGACCTGAAAAGGTTACGATTACAATAATAAAGGAAGCATCCACTTAGAATTCCGTTCTACAAAGCAGGTGGAGGGTTACAGAGTAAGTGGCAAACATTATGGGATATGTAAGGAAGATAACGGTTAACCCTAGACCTGGACAGGTTACGATTACAATAATAAAGGAAGCATCCACTTGGGAGTCCGTTCTACAAAGCAGATAAAAGGTTACAGACTAAGAGGAAAATATTATGGGATATGTGAGGAAGATAACGGTTAACCCTAGACCCGGAGAGGTTACGACTATAGTGATCGCGGAAACATCTTCTTGTGAGTCGGTTCCGCAAAGTAGCGGTTTGTGGGAAGAAGCTGCTCGAGTGAAACTTACATCTCAGCAATGGAATACGAAGAAAATGAGTGGGGTTCGCTACAATGGGCGTGGCATTTCAATGTGACAGATATCATATGCAAAGATTTACGGCCGTTCCTTAGTGTTCGATTTGTCTTCCATAAAAAGATCGGACTTGCTTTTTTTGCTTTTTTTTTACTAAATGTTTACTCAATCCAAGACCCAAGAGCCACTCAATGTAGAAGGTTACTAAATGATGTTATTGTATATGAAAAGGACAATAAAGGAACAGAATTCATGAAGAAAGAAGATGGAAATTGATGTTACATTTAAATTTTTGAAGATTTAGCTAATTCAACAGTAAAACGGTGAAACCTAATTGCCAATCTTGTAGCACAATTAAATTTATGCAGTCGGAACACTACGACAGCTCTTCAGAATAACTGCCATTAAAATATTAGTAGAAAACACAGATGGAAGCCATATCACATCCGTGAGAAAGTGACTAATAAAGTGCACAACGCCCAGATTACCTAAACAGAGTAAAGAGCGGTTCACCACGCCAAGTTCTATCAAAGAACAGCCTGAGTCGTTGCAAGAGTTCCATGGACTCACGATTTTTAGACGACGAGAACATAACTGATAGAAGGGGGCGTCTAGCTTTATATATAAATGGCCATAACAAAACTCCGTTAATGCATCACGGGGAAAAAACTAATAATAATATATATTTCTAAAAGCTTGTGGATAACGAGCTCCCTCAGGGTGGAAAAGAAAATAAGCAAAGAAAAAAAAGTATATATACAGGGTGCGATGGGAAAATTGTCACCATTTCATATTTTTAATTCCGCGCCTGCGCGTTGCTTGTTTTTCTTTATTTTGTCGACAGCACAGTATAGTAGGGTCGGTTGGGAACCGTCTGTGAGAAAAAAAAAGCTCCAGGACGCAATTCATTCCGACAGTAATTCGGAAACAACATGCTGTACTGCTTGGCATTCACACCAGAAGCTCCAATATGAACATTTCAGAATGCTTAGGTGTCAATCTGAGGATAGTGCATAGGATTCGGAAAGAGTTGGATGAGTCTAATGGTAATTACGAAAGTACGACAGCACAGAAAACTCTCTGTGATCGTTCTGACAAGAAAAGAACTCCTGAATTTGTTGGTGAAGGCCTCAGACTCAACACAGAGGACTACATCAAATGTCATGAGTAAGTAGTTCTGCTCTGGAGGAAGAGGGACGCTGCTGGTAGAACCTATGTCTGGCAACAGAACTTTGCATCTTGCCGCACAAGCAGCAGAACCCAGTCATGGCTGTTAGACAATTTCTGCGACCACATTACCCCCTTCCATCTGACCACCTAACTACCCAGATTGCAACCCCCCCCTTGATTGTTATGGGTGGGGCGCATTTGAGTGGGAGGCCAACAAAACTCATCGTAACACCAAAGATGAATTAAAGGGGGTAAGGATTATAGCAGCATTCGCCAACTTAAACAAGGAAACCGTTTAGAAGAAGCGCAGAGGATTCCGAAATCATCTGGATGGCGATTTTATGGAATAAATTACTCTTTAGTATTTCAAGATATCTTTGTGTAATTTTTTGTATATATATATATATATATATATATATATATATATATATATCTGTTAAAATGATATGTCAATATTTTAATTTTTGCGTAATTTAGACTACAATTTACCAATCGCTTCCTGTGTGTATATATATATATATATATATATATATATATATATATATATATATATATATATATATATATTTAAACATAAAAATGTCTTAAAATAATTGTCGAACTTTTTCCATTTCATAATGTGTATAAATATATATATATGTTGAAACTTGACTAATGCATGGAATAATAATGCAGCACAAAAATGTACTTAGAACAAAATGTATTGAAACAAGAAAGTGTACACAATATTTACATATAGTCTTTTGTATATTCCTGGTAAGACCGTTCCTGGAGAATGTGTTGACTCAGTCGCAGTCGGGCAGAGTCTCTGGTTGAATCTCTTGATTCCTGTATTTATCTATCCACCCACGAGGATAAAATGTGGCACAAGGCCGGTTTAAAGTGGGTATCTCCGATCCCGTAGGCTCGGCGAAAATTATGGCCTTTCTGAACCCGCCTAGACGGGTTCAAGGCCTGTCTACCACCCCAGACGAAACCCTGCCTCTCGGCAAAGCCTCGTCCGGGTCCCTCTCTGCAAAATGCAGAGAGTTCGACTGAGAGTGAATCTCTTGGTTCCCCACTCTCTTCCCGGTACCAACCATATTTATATGGTCGGTACTCCACTATACAAATTATGTGGATCCTACCACAACAATATATATATATATATATATATATAAACAGAGAGAGAGAAAGACAGACAGACAGACAAGCAGTCAAGCAATTTCAAGATATTTTTTGTAATTTTGGCATATATATATATATATATATATATATATATATATGTTAAAATGAGATGTCAATATTGTTTTAATGTTTTCATAATTTACTCGTCAATTTATCAATCGCACACTTTCTCTCTATATATATATATATATATATATATATATATATATATATATATATATATATATATATATATATATAGCTTTTCGTAAAACGGAAATCATTTTCCATTTTGGATCTTTTCATTTTTTCCCATCTCCTTGTTTCAATAACTACCAACATTTTGATTGGCATTGCAATATTAGTTAAGCTCAAATATTTGTCAATGCAGTAGGGAAATTTTCACGAATATTTTGTAATCGTACAATCCCCAGGGAACTTATTCAATCATTAAATTAAGAATTAAAATTCATCAGCAAATTTAAATAGGTAAACCATGAAACATTCACGGCCACTACTAATAGATATTATTATTATTATTATTTATTATTAATCTACTTAAAACTTGTTATTAATTAT